GAAAAGGAATTGATTCTGATTGAGTTGCACGTTCCTCTTCAACTCTGAATCTGAACAACTTATGAAGAGCTAAATACAGAGACGATAGGATAGGTTTCTTGGTTGTGGTTTTTTGGATACCTTGAAAGTATGCATTCATCGAGGCCTTGAGGAAGAAAGAACAAGTCTTCACAACTCTCTGAGGAGTAACTTTCTACCCACTTTAAGCAAAGATCATCTGACCTTCCAATAAAGTAGCTGGTATTCTTGAGAAGAAAAATTTAGACATATTTGGAGCTGATTTCATGACAGCAAGTATTTTTCTGAAGTGGAGAGTTGATTTGTACTGTATTTTTCACCCACCTGGTTTGATAACAGTATTTTTAAGAGGCCTGGAAACTAGAATCTTAGACCAGTGAGTTCTGGGTACAGAGAACAGGCAGTCTGGTTTCCTTCCTGTCTGTTCCTCTTCAGAAGCATCTTTGGTCAGATGTTCAAAGCAAAGCACTCCGTTTTCTACATTCATTTTGCATTAAATGAAACAACCATAGAGTTCAAGTGAAGGTTGTTTAACTCTCATTATTTCTTAAGCCCAAAGAAGAAACTGAATTGGCATTCTTATTCAGTGCCTTTGAAGTCCCTCAGTTGCTTCAAGCACTTTGAGGCTCCCAGCTATTATGACTGAACTTTTCATCAGTTTGAGAGATTAGGACTAGATTCATGCTTTTTTTTTGTGAAGAAATTAGTTTGATAGTCACAGCATACTGGTGGCTGCAGGTGTCGCAAGTGGAACTTCCCAAATTCTCTATTCGCTATTAGTTTTTTTTTCCTGGTGGCTTTTGTGCTGTGCAGCAGCACTCATTTTTGCTGATAAGCCTTGTGATATCAACACACAATCTCTGTTGTCGCCAGTGGTCTTCAGCTGTTGTAGTCCACCACATCACAGAATTAATGCCATATAAATGAATATTTGCTTTAAGCTTGTCCTTGGAGCATTTTGGTGGCCTACTTCTCGGCTGTTTACCATATTTTAATCACACGTTTAAAAAATTTTTTTGGATAATCTGTTTCTGGCATCCTAGCAACGTGCCCAGAGCAGCATAAGTGAGCCTGCAAGGCGATAGCTTCCATGGAGTGCATTTGATAGTATGCTAATCAGTGTTCAGGTCTGTATTTTGATGTGTTACACTAGCAATGAGCCAAAGATGGTACATATGGATTTTGAGATATCTGACACGATGACTATAAGTTGTACAGATATTACAGCTATTAAGAATGATGATGACTATGTGTTGCTTTTGCTTGAAGTCTTTCATTTCAGGGGTACTACTTTTATCTCCTAAGGCTACTCTGGCTTTCATGATCCTCCCTGGGACTTTGTCATCATTAAAGGGGTTCTGAGACACTCTTCTACTCAAATAGAAGAATTTCTCTCCAAATGTCACTGCTGCACTGTCAGTTTTCATTATTGGCCTGACGTGCTTTTCACCACAGCTGGAATAGGATCTCTTTTTTCTATATACTGATGCTGAGGCCAAATTATTTGGCAGAGCAATCGGAACAGCAATATGTTGAGGGTTCTCTTGGCTAGAATTCCTCAGCCCCACAGTAGGCATTCAGGATTGTTTTAGGTCTGTGTTTGTCAGCAATTTATCCTGCCGAAGCCCCTGACATTTTTTTTTCATACGTGCCTGGTGTGCACGCTTAGCATTCTACAGATGCCTAGAGACATGCATAAATATCTAAGATTTTCTGATGCATGTCAACTATGGACATATAGAATCAGAGAATAGTTTAGGTTGGAAAAGACCTTTAAGATCATGAAGCCCAACCATTAACCTAACGCTGCCAAGTCCACCACTAAACTGTGTCCCTCAGCACCACATCTACACATCTTTTAAATACCTCCAGGGATGGTGACTCCACTTCTCTGGGCAGCCTGTGCCAATGCTTGACAACCCTTTCAGTGAAGAACTTTTTCCTAATACCCAATCTAAACCTCCCCTGGCGCAACTTGAGGCTGCTTCCTTTTATCTTATTGCTTGTTGCCTGGGAGAAGAAACTGATCCCCCACCTCGCTACAACTTCCTTTCAGGCAGTTGTAGAGAGTGATAAGGTCTCCCCTGAGCCTCCTTTTCTCCAGGCTAAACAACCCCAGTTCCCTCAGCAGCTCCTCATAAGACTTGTGCTCTAGACGCTTCTCAAGCTTTGTTGCCCTTCTTTGGACACTCTCCAGCTCCTTTATGTCTTTCCTGTAGTGAGAGGTCCAAAACTGAACACAGTACTTGAGGTGGGGCCTCAACAGTACTGAGTACAGGGGGACAATTGCTTCCCTAGTCCTGCTGGCCGCCCTATTTCTGATACAAGCCAGGATGCTATTGGCCTTCTTGACCACCTGGGCACACTGCTGGCTCATATTCAGCCATCTGTTGACCAACACGCGCAGACCCTTCTGTGCTGTGCCGCTTTCCAGCCACTCTTCCCGAAGCCTGTAGTGCTGCAGGGGCTTGTTGTGACCCAAGTGCAGGACTCGGCACTTGACCTTGTTGAACCTCATACCATTCTCTTCGGCCCATCGATCCAGCCTTCCCAGAGCCCTCTGTAGAGTCTTCCTACCCTCAAGCAGATCAAGGCTCCCACCTAACTTAGTGGCATCTGCAAACTTATTGAGGGTACACTTGATCCCCTTGCCGAGATCATATTAATAAATACGTAGTAGTGAATATATTGAACAGAACTGGCCCCAATACTTAGCCCTGGGGAACACCACTGCCACTTCTTCCAAAGGTCTTAAACTATTCCCCCCCCCGCCCCTGAGTTCCAGCAGAAGCTCTCTGTTCAGTGAGGCCTGTCTTCTTCCCTGTCAGCTTGTCTTTCGGCACATGGGGACAGCCTTTAGGATTTCTATCTTGAAGAATGTCCAGCCTTCCTGGACTCCTTTGCCCTTCAGGACAGCCTCCCAAGGGACTCTGTCAGCCAGGCTCCTAAACAGGCCAAAGTCTGCCCACCAGAAGTCCAAGGGAGCAGTTCTTCTGACCCCCCTTCTTATTTCTCCAAGAAGCGAAAACACTGTCGTTTTGTGATCACCGTGCCCAAGACAGCCTGCAGTTGTCATATTACCCACAAGTCTTTCGCTGTTCACAAACAGGTGCAGTGGGGCACCTTCCCTAGTTGGCTCACTCACTAGCCATGTCAAGAAGTATACAGCAATCAAGGCAACTAAATAACAAACAAGACAACAGATGTATTATCTACCACTTTCTAGATGCCCAAGTTCTACTTTGACTGCTTGTATCATGTTCCTTCCAGTACCCAGAATGTGGGAGCTCTCTCAGGCATCTGGAAAGTTGGTCTCCTGAGGTAACAATGAAGTTATGAAGTAAATACAGAAGTAAGAAGCAAGAGTGGGCAGCGGCATTTTTGCCGGATGTTCTCACTGCTGTTTGAGTCTACCAGAGTGCATCACTGCTTCTGGAGTGGAACATTTCTTAGTCATTTTTTGATTTACTTAAGTCTGTTCTTGCATCTGGAAGTCTGTTAGTTGCTGTGGCAGTGTTTTTTGATCATGCTCCCAACTGTTAGGACAGAAAAGAGCATAGGGAGTATATTTTAGGGAGGTTGGGAATACTGATTATCTACGTAGTGTTTTTTTAAAAGATTACCAGTGCTATTTCTGAAGCAAAATTAGTAATCCTTTAGTTTGGTCCGATGAGGCAGGGGAAAAAGAGGAGTTCTCTGATCAGGAGTAGATTTAAGAGCTCTGAAAAATTTTTCAGCCATGGATTAAACCTGAGTGGCCGAAGGAAGATGTGAGATCAAAGATGGAATATGACGATGGAGATGATGGTGGTGATTCTTTGTTCACTTGTGAAATACTACATAGTTCTTGAACAGCTGCTGGTTCCCGTTAGGTATATTATAGTGTTTTACGTACCTTGGCTTGTAAATTGTATCAGTTGAGAACCTAATTCACAATCGGATCAACATCTCTGCTTTGGAGCTGGCAACATCTGTCTTTTGCCTGGTGCAGATCGCTGTGCTGTTTGGTGCTCTGGTATTCACCTACCACCACTTACTTCTCACAGCTCATAGTGTGTCTATATCTGTGTTCCTTCTGTTTGAATTGGTGTTAATGAAAACTACCCGTGCAGAGATGACATGAGGAAAAGTGTTTGTTTTCAGTATCTTGAGATTTTTACAGTGATGGGAGCATGAAATGTATGTAGATTTATCCTGGAACAGGCAAAGGCCTTTATTCCTCAAAATCTGCTTTTTCTCTTGGTGATTGTATAAAGACAAAATGATAAAACTCAGTAGAATTTGTGAGATGTAATTTAACTAACAGAGCCTAAATATTTTTTGAGAATTAATCCTTTTTGTTTTCTAGACTAGCTTTTTTATAGCTTATAAATCAATAATAAAAGTGTATTCAATGTGTATTAGCATTGGAGTTGCGGGTGTGTCACTTTTATCTCTGTCTCTGAATTGCCTAAAGATGTTGATCAGTATCAGCAATACAGATTTTAGAGGATGGAACATTTCTCCTGTATTTTCCTGAACTTTGATTTCTGTGAATTATTTCATATGCATTTTTTTTTATCCACATTGGCCTCGCAATTAATAATCAGTATAGCAGCCACGGGGAAAAAAAAAAAAAAAAACAAAACACCACAATTTCATTATGACCATTTGGCCTGGTTTTTGACTCTATCAAACAATAGTAATCATGATTGACTTTGAACAGAACAAACACAGGTTTTTACTAGAGCAGTGGCATATCATGGGTGGAGGGTTTGTTGTGTTTTTTTTTTTTTTTATGGGGTGGGGCTCAGCAAGGTAGAACAATTAAGATAAAAACTTTCTGGGCAATGACTGATGATAAAGTGACAGGAGAACATGGTGAGTTCTCTCAAAATGTGAAGTTCTTGCTGTTGAGCTATTCTTTGAAATGTTTTAACCAATAATAATAACAAAAAAGCATTTAACTAATTATGTCACATTTGTTTCGTTCTGATTCATAGAAAATTTCACCTTGGGTAGGTTTACGTAAGATCAACATCTCCTACTGGGGCTGGGATGACATGTCTCCTTTTACAAATACAACTCTGCAGTGGCTTCCTGGAGAGCCAAATGACTCCGGCTTCTGTGCATATCTAGAAAGAGCAGAGGTGGCAGGTCTGAAAGCGAATCCGTGCACTGCTATGGCAGATGGTCTTGTGTGTGAAAAACCTGTCGGTAAGCAATCTCTTATACTCAGTTACTGGTACTGTCATGATTAGCAACCTGTTTGGGTTTTCGTTTAGCTAAGAAGGGTTTTTGGAAAAATCCTATTAAATAATTTAAAATTAAAAAACCAAAACCAAAATGGAGTTTTAATTGAGAAAACAAATAATATTCCTATTCCAGCAAATATTTATTTGTGAATTAGTTATATGACTCAGTTTGCGTTACACTAGAAGTCTTATAAATTCCCTCCAGATCAGTAGGATTCAGTGACAATGGTGATTACAGCATGAAAGTGTCTGTGGAGGTGTTCAACAAGGCTGATGTTTTCTTTCTGAATCTTACTGAACATCACTGAACATTTTCATGGTCTAAAAGACTGACAAAACCAAAATTCTTGTTTCCATCTTTTAGGTTTGTTTGTATGTAAAGATTACTGTAGCGAATATTCACTTGACAGTTCAAATTAGTATTTTCATGCTCAGATTGTCCTGTGTTTCTCATCATAGCTGTGAGGTTGAGCACATGAAGTTCTTTAAATTTCCCCTTCAGATTTATTCTGGCAATTGTCTGTGCAAAACTGGAAAATAGCTACATTGTTGGTGTTTGGAACGCTACCTATCAATTTGATGGTTTTGCTGGGAAATTGTCAGACTTGTTAACTTGCGTGATCAAAGTGTGATCTTACCAACCCTTAATTTTCTTATAAGAAATTCCAAGCAGCAATGTAATTGCAAAGTATGTATTATACACTTGTTGCTACTGCCATTTATATTTCCTAAAAATGTCATCTTTCAGTGTTCTTAATTTTGAGCTAATTGTTAATTATTTACCAGATGTTTCTCAGAATATTAAAAGATACAGTCACAAGGGAAGAGACATCTCAGAAGGGAAAGGATACACTAGGTGGAACACAAATTACTTTATTAAGACGCAATATTTTACAATTAGATCAACATTATATGCATCTGTTACTGGTGTCTTGTTTTAGGTTTTTTTTGATCTTGAGGTGCTTCAAAGACTATAGATATCAAAGTACTTCAGCCTTATAAGAATACTTTTATAGTTTAGATTATTTTTGTTAGGTATTTATTTATTTATTTATTATTAATTGCAAACCACAGCTTGAATAAGTACGTAGTAGGTCAAATCCAGGAATGGCTGTGGTTAAGTGATTTGGTGTACTACATTAGTGGATGAAGAACGGCTTAAGAACTAGGCTTGTACTGAATACCAGTCAATAATATACAAAACCATGGCAATACCTAGGAGGGCTTAATCCTGGTGCTTCACAAGGCAATTCTGTATGGAAAATATAGTGCTATCTATATTTTTGTGTTCCTACCTAACAATTACGCTACTGTTGTTCTTGAACACTTTACAGTTTTATTTGAAATCAAAGCAAAAATCGGGAGTTAGAGTATACAAGTTCTATTTGTGTATTACAACTTTTTGAGATGACATGCACCATTAACCTAGTCAAAATGTGGTCTCTAGTAGAGAAAAACAAATAAAAACCAAACAACCCCAACCCCCAATCTGTTTTGCATTGAACAATGTTTCTTTTGTTACTTTCCCTTTGGATTCTAGTGACTTTCATATATATAGTGTAAGGCAAAATTTTAGGAGATAAGTCACAAGTTTAATATTTGTTGCTAAACTAATGAGAACAATGGACCCAGAACTCTGCTGTACTTGCTGTAGAAGCTTGGGACTTATTTTATGTCATGTATGTGCAAGTAAGTAGCTGACATGACCAGGCAATGAATGTTAAATTTATTGATTCAGTATATAGATAAAATTGCTGTGAAAAATTTTAAATGGACTCTATTAGAGCTCTATTATGACTCATGCTGAGTGTTACCTAATAATTTTTATAAAATATTATTGTATTTGTATACTGCACTGTAAGTTTAGATGAAATTATTTACAGCTAGTTAAGGAAGCAACCACTTTCACTTTAACAAGGATTTTTCTCGTGGAATATATGATTAAAGAAAAAGGAGATTGCACTTGTGTTCAAAATTATAAATATTTGTGGCTCTTTTCCAGTTAGTCCCAACCAGAATGCCAGACCCTGCAAAAAGCCATGCTCCCTGCGAACAACATGTTCTAACTGCACGAGTAATGGTATGGAATGTATGTGGTGCAGCAGTACTAAACGATGCGTTGACTCAAACGCCTATATAATCTCCTTCCCGTATGGACAGTGCCTAGAATGGCAAACTGCCACTTGCTCCCGTGAGTATCTTAATGAACGTTCATCCTATTGAATATGCTGTTGTATATTTTTCCAGTCGTAAGACCGTCTATGTGAATAGGATTCAGCATGATCACTAAAGATAAAAAATAATTACAGATGAATCACCTTATATAGCTACTAATGAGGGCAGTCAGTACTGAGCATGTATTTTCTAGATACAGATAAATTATGGGTAATTCTTTTATGATGAAACATATTTAATCTGTTAAAACAGATAGTAAAAAGTGTTTATTATTTTCAGATAAAGAAAAAAATACCATGGTTATTTGTGCGACTAGCGTTAGTGTGTCAAATAATGGCCATGAGTTGGAAAAAAATACTATTAAAATTACAGAAATAATATGCAGACCTTAGACTTATGCCATATGTAGTTATTAAAAAAAAAAAAAGATGAGCTGAATTCAGAGTTTTTAGGGTTCTGATTTATTTTGTTAGTGGACTCGAAGTACATTTTCCTAGCATGTAAAGTCAAAACCAAAGCAGGTGAGTTTTGTCAAGCAGAGAAAGTATTCCTCAGATATCCCCTTTGGAAGCACATTTCATCGGAAATTGATACAATGTGTCTCTAGGAGAATAAGAAACCTACTCAATGTACATTTCAGTATACTGTTCAGCTAAAGGTACTTCTTCCTAAGTCTGTAGTGACTGGACCTTGTTGCAGTGTATATCACTGCTATAATTCATGTAGATGCTGGAGCAAGCCGCCTGGTGCCTTAGATTATTGTCTCAGTCATGGTTTATTTAGAAAAGTTCCTCAGTTTCCATCCTACAGAAGACTGGTTCTTAGTAATTTTACTGTCCTTCAAGATTTGATTAAAATATTTCCTACCTGTAAAGGAGTCCAATCCAATGGGACACAAACAATATATAGGACTTCTGAAGGGTGCCACTGAACTCTCGTTATTGCTCTTCGTGAGAGTGGTTTTTCTAATTACTTGCGACTTCCTTTCCCTCTCCGTAAGGGTCTTTTGATATCAGCATCTCTGGAACATTTTATTTCTGGATATGTTGTGGCAGGATTGATGATGATGTCCAACAAGAAGCAACTTGCTTTAGGGTCCTAATTAGATCGTGATTCCATCTAATAGATTATGGATGCAAATACAAAAGGTAGTTACTTGCTTTCACCTAAGCCTTGGGAAAATATTAAGTAAAATTAAGGTCCTGTCATATCTGTATCTTTGATATATTCTGACCTTATGAGAGAAGTGGCTCTACATACCAGATCACTACATATACCTGAGTTAAAGGAAAATAAGGCATAGGAAAATTTTTGTTTTGGGTCCAAATAGCCAAGAATGGTGGAACCTGCAGAGCCTGTATTCCTAACTAAAGAAAAATTCTTCTTCAGCCTTAGTAGTCATAAAATATAATGAATCGGTACAATGTTGACTTGTTCTGGTAAACTTTTATGCTTGGTAAATTTTTATGCTTAATAAATTTCAGATATTAATGCAGGTTCTAGTGTTCAGGTTCAGTGTGGACTAGAAGTAGGGTTTACACGTTCCTTGGGTCCTTATGTCCTCTAAATCCACCAGTCAGCCCACGTTTGCTCTAAGAACAAAGAAATAATAGGAACATTTAATCTCTTCTCCCATATATTTGGAATAATAATCCTGTAATTATGTAAAGGTTTAGTGAACGGTTATATGAGAGAAACATTTTTACACTCCTATAAGGAATCAATTTTGCAACTTATAAAAAATTAATAGTGAGTTGTGGCAGAAGATAAGTAGATTGAAAATTTGGAGATAAAATAGACAGAACGCCACATGAATGATGCTTAGCTTTTTAAAATAGCTTATATTATTTCAGCCTGAATGTTTAATTCTGTTTTGTGCTTGTGTAGTATTTGCACATCATGCAGATTCAATTTGTTTTGGGAATACAAAAAATTGGTTTTAATTTAATTGTCATTTTTGTCAGGTCTGTAAAAGTTTATATTAAATAAAGCAAACGGGATTTGCTATATACAAGTTCATCATTATTTAAAGGCAGTTTTGTATGAAAATATATTTTCTATTCAACAAATTAAAGGAAATCAAGATTCTGTGTCTGTAAGCAGTTTTTTTTTTTTTAAGAGTTTAAAGCATTAGATATTTTGCATATAAACAAGAAAACGAATGTCCAAATGAAACATGGTTCAGACATTGTTTCAGTCTAAATAACTTAAATTTTATTGGGTAGAAAAATCATTATTGCTGCTGAGGTAAAGAAGTATTAAGTGGATTCCCTTTTCAAGGGGTAGAGTTCTACTTACTTTGAGAATGGAATGTAACTATACCTTAAAAAAAAAAATCCTCTTTTTTAATTTTATTTTTGGTCTGAATGGCTGATTTCTGAGTTTTTTAACGTTTTGCTCTGAACGGAAAAAAACAAACCCAGAACTTCACACAAGCATCTGTGATTTATATGAAAAAAAATGTAATAACTGAGATTTTTCACATTTATTTTCACAAATGAATATTAAAATGAAGAACACTGTTTTATTGGTGACGTTTTGTCATTTTAATACCCGCTTGCCAAAAAGTAGCGTTCCACTCTTCCCCCCATCTTCCATTCATTACGACTTTTGATTGAATAGCTGACAGTTGAACAGTCTTGGACCACCTCTAGAATTAAAAAGAAAAAAAAAAAACAGCTTGAATATTCCCTTCTTTCATAAACAATAACTTCTCAGTTCTCTTCAGTTTTGCAGCTGAATGCCACTACAGGGAATATCTGAGGATTGTAACTTTTGGTTCTATCTTCCATGAAGATAGTGTAGCTGGTACTGCAGAGCTGTTTTCTCCTTGCTTTATCAACAACAACATGAGAATTGTTTGGATCATCTACAGTGCATCTCTGAAAGGGCAAGCCAGCCAGTACAGAATGGTGGTCTTTATTTTTCTGCTGATCTTCTAATGTATGCAAAACCCAAAATTTGTATCATTCAGCTTCAGATTTGATGAGGTCTGGTTTTAAACTGTTTTGTGTCAAGTGATTGACGTTGATTTCCAAGAACAGTTGAGTTCCTTTTTTTTTTTCCTTTTTTTTTTTTTTCACCCCTCCCTTTTTCCATATTTGGGAAACTTGAAACATTTCCTCCTATTTGGATTCTTCCAACTCTAATGATACAGGAGCTCATGCTGCAGCTTTCTGCACTGTTAACGTCCTTTTCAGATTCTCATTCAGATTCTTAACTGCCTGTTTTCTTGATATCTGCATGTTTCTTTATACTACTGGAGTATTTTTTCTTTGACAACTTTCATTACTTTTAAACAGTTTTAATAGTTGCTGAGGTTAGAATAGCTAGCTTTCCTCTGATGTGAGATTATTTAATTAGAAATGAAATTGTTGTGCTTAGTGTAGCCTTTATAGCTTGGATTCAGGTATTCCGTTTAAGGAGTAGAGTATTAGTTGAATATAGTGGCCTGGCTGGAGCTGAGCCAAATTGAGAGGTTACACTCATGTAGAAGCCATTTGAGTGTCCTTCAAAAAAAAAAAAAATTAGAAATACTTTATTTTTAAAAAGAAACTTAAACTGTTTCTGGTTTCCTGGTGGTGTCTTCCTGAAGTTCATGTACGCTTTTAAAATTTTTTTTTAAGTGTCTACAAGGTTAATGTGAGAAGAGACAGAGACCCATAGTGATCAATGTTCAAATGATTCTGATGATAATTTGACTCAGTGTTTCAGCATTAATTTAAAAAAATTAAGATGTAGCAGAAACAGCTCAAATAAACTTGTGAACTCTAATGGTGTTCCTGGAGATACTGAATTGTTAATTTGTTATTAATAAGAAATGGCAGTAACTTCAGAATATGATTTTTTTTTTTTGGTTCTAAACAGATTTCTTGATATATAAGGAAGAGCATTTCTATGAGAAATTAAATTATTAGTATGCAAATTAAAAAATGAAACCTGATTTACTCTAGCAGACAAGACTCTTAAAGTGGCTCAATTAAAAGGGATCGAATTATGACTTGTAGCTCAATAACCCTTTTTTCTGAAAGATGTGTAATATACTAGCTTGTTTCAAAAGTTCTGTATAAGACGACTGAGTCATGTTTGTAGATGAATACTAAGGTGTGATCCTGGGATACTTTGTACCCAAATAAAATTTTGGTTTGAGTTTGAATTATCACAATTCTTGTATCATTATTATCACTCTTATTTGGATTATTGGCCTTGTCTTGAATTCTAGCGTTTTTGTTGGAAGGACTGTTTGTCAGTAAAACTAGGAATATACACATCCCTTAGTATATATTAACTATAAGTACAGAGTATATATTTTATCATGGGATTTAATGAATGTGTGTAATATTATTGTTCTGCTTCATTGTCTTTGTTTATTTGAAATCTTTGTTGTTGCATTGTGGTGTAAAAAACACCTGCTGTGTATTTTGTGATCTCTGAAGAAGGGTTGTCAAACACTGGAACAGGCTGCCCAGGGAAGTGGTGGAATCGCCATCCCTGGAGGTATTTTTAAAGATGGGTAGACTGATGCTTAGGGACATGAATTAGTGGTGGTTTTGGCAGTGTTAGGTAGATGATTGGACTCGCTGATCTTAAAGATGCCTTTCAACCTAGATGATTCTATGATTCTAAGTACAATATTTAAAGAAAATTGAGATATTCTTACTAATGTTACTGATTTTTTTTTAATTTGAAGGCAATAGAAATGCAAAATTATTTCTTCATCAGCTGTTGTAAAATCCTAGCATCTTATTTAAAAAAAAGCCACCTAAAACCCCAACCCAAAACCCAAACGAAAAAAAAAATTCCTTGCATTAATAATGTATTCCATGTAATAAAGCTCAAAACTGCTCTGGACTGAGGACCTGCGGACAGTGTTTGGAACAGCCCGGGTGTGGATGGTGTAACGATCCCAGTAACACTGGAAAAGGACAATGTTTGGAAGGATCGGCAAGAGGCCCAATGAAGCCTGTTGGTGTGCACTCTAGTGAAATGGTGCTTGATGCTAGTCTCTGTCCAAAAGAGAAAAATTATGAATGGTCTTTTATCCAGTGTCCAGGTAAGGTCTGCTTCCGTTCTTTCCTATGTAGGAGATAAGAGATGTTTCTCTAAGCATGCCAAATTAACATAATTATTTTGACTAATACAAATAACATTTGCAGGAGAGATTTGTTTTTCTAATACGTTTCCTAAATACATAGTTTGTTACTCTCTGTGTACTGAACACAAATGTGTGGAAATTTAATGCAAGTAGTTTAACTGAAATTGCCATTTATTTGTAAATAAATTTTCACCCATCCTATACTTCTGCTTTTTCAAATCCATCTGTATGGGTTTGCTTCAGCTTTTACTTTCTTCTGGCAAATCTCCACCAAAGGAGAGCGCAGCTGAGGAGAAATTATCTCTAGGCAGCTGCTGATGGCCAGGAACAGAAGTTCCTGCGTCCCCGCTGGTCGTGCAAAGGTCTGGCTGGTGGTGAGAAGAGGGGGCTGCCAAATAGCTGAGCTGTGCCTCCAGTCTACCTTTTAGACATTTTGCGTATATGGAATGTATGCTTTTGTAATCTTAAAGAGAATCTCTGAAGTCTAAATTTAAGCCATAGCAATCTGATTACGGTATTGTAATTTTTAAGTTCACTGGAAAACTAAGCAAGATGCTTTAGGACAGTGGGAGCTGAACGGGTACAGCCTCCGGCGTGGAAATACTCAGCCTGAAAGGAACGTGTGAAAGCAGCGGTGTAGCGGTGTAGGCAAATGAGAAGCACACTGGGGAGTTTGACAGACCCCCAGTGGTAATTTACAATAAATAATACAGTTTAAAAGACAGCTTGAAAACTTTTTTTAGAATAAATGGTGTAATTTGGCTAAAGTTACTTTTCCAGCAAGTGTTCCTACTGCTGATCCATTTGGAAGCTGAAGCTTCTCTATGGGTACATGCAGCTATGTTTGCTGTGCTGGGTACTTTTTTCATCAGCGTATGTGTGTGCTTTCGTACGTATGTGTGGGTGTATATATTATTATTTAGAAATCAGGATCCCTGAAGAAAGCTTTGCTTTAGTAACTTTTTTTTTAAATACATAGGTAGAAAGTAATTTTTTTTTTAAGTTTTATGAACTGAAATGTAAACCCAGGTGAACACTGTCAAATGTTCCAAGTTAAAATCAAAACACTTCAAACCATCTAATACTGTTTCCTGAACAAAGAAGCTTCTAGTAAATTTCTGGAAACAATGGAATGAGAATGTTGCCTAGAAACTTCAGTACTGAGTCTGTATGTTGAAATACAGATACGTTGATAATGTGTAGTTAGTCTTTCACTGCAATACATAGTATCCACCACTAGTGAAATTGTAACGGAGATATATATATTTCATGTCTAAAATGTTCACGTTAAAAGATTTGACCACTTTAGTTCTTTAATATTTATTCTACACAGATAAAATTCTATATTCGCTGTATGTTCTGAGCAAGAATTCACTGAAGTTCTGCTTTAGTTTAAAAACTCACTAGTTTTGTGAGTTTAAGAGGCAAATCCTGCAGAAGTCATAGAATTAAAATTTCAATTGATGTGAAATTTCATTTTGATTTGTACAGGCTGTAGGTTTTATTTCTGAGATTTTGTTTTCATTTTTTAAAAATATTATCTGTATTGGATTATACTAACAGAGTTTATTATTCTTAGCACAGCAATCATTTAAAATAAGATAGAATTGATACTAAATGTGTATAAACTTACTGAGCAGTTTGTTGTTTGGATGAAAATAAAAATAAATAGGTTATAACGTAGTTTGAAGATTATTCTGCCACGCTGATGGATAGTTGACTAAACCATTCATGTTCATTCAGGTATGCACTTAGTTTTTCTTGTAGTTCCTATCTATGCTCTTTGTAGTGCCTTTGGGCAATTGTGTTGGTGATAAGTATTTTGAATTCATTCTCATTTTCTGTCTGTTCAAATCTTTAAAACTAGTATTCAGCAGGTAGCATTAAAAAAATGTTTCTTTTTGTGAATGGTCATTTTGAAATCAATACTCCTAAAAGCAGCTGTCATTGTATTTCTTTCTATATTAATAAATTTTTATTTTTAATCAGATTTATATTTTAATTGAATTATTATTGTAAATAAAATGGCAAATACCATATATTAAAAAAAAAAAAGAAGAAAAATAGTGTTGGGTAGTGTTAGGTAGAATGTAAGCCCAAGTTTGTCTTTAAAGGCTAAATCTTTAAAGCCTAAATTTCTCCTCTGAAAAGCAGTATGAATTGATTCTAACTAGTTTGTTTAAAACTAGTTAAAGTATGTTTACAGTACATCCAGGTTGTAATGCAGACATGTTTTTTATATATTTTTTTGTAGCGTAAAGTATTTCTTAAAACTATAATTTTCAACATTTGTCAGCATCACCAATCATTTCAACTCAGAGGTCAAAAGCAAATTAAACATATAATTGCTTATCTCCAGGGTAGCCCCACTGAAGATTCAGCTAAATCACATCTGTATGTGTGAGAAAAATTACTCTGTTTCTTCCACTGATGTACATTAAAATCACTTATGGAAAAAATGACTTTTAAAATTTAACTCCTTGTTCTTATTTAAAGATCATTACTCATCTCATTATTTTAGTTATTGCTTTAATTATTTAATACTGATGTCTCCAGTTTGCACTTGTCTGTATCACAGAAAGTTGTTGCAATGTGCAGTTCTTCTGGCTTTTCACTTTTCTCAGCAAGATACACATTTTTAGGAAAACCAGCAAAAATGTAATACCATTTTTAAATGGTGTGCCATTTAAATTGTACATTGTAGTGGTTCTTATCGTCTATATATATATTTAATTTGATTTAAAGTCTCTTCCATTATCTTTGCCTTCAGAAAATGTAAGACTATCATATGTGACAAGATAATATTATCACTTGCGGCAAACTAAAATGGACAATAAAAAAAATAGATTAATTAAGGTTGCTTTCATTTGTCCTTTAAATAACAGAAAAAAAGAAATACAAAACTGAGCATTAGAAAGAATAGAAAATTTACACATCAGCGACCTGCTAGATAGAGGATATCAGCATGAAACATTTTCCTTACATCGTGATTGCCTTAATTAGGCAATCTTACTTGACTTTAATAGAACACCTATTTAATGCACCATTTTTACTTTTGGTTTATTGGGTCACATTTTTTTTTTCACATTTGCTTTAAGTAATATAATGCATAAGACATACAAACAAAACCAAAAATGCAGCTGCAATTCATGGTATTTTCACGTAGCTTTTTCTGAGAAAGGCAACAACGATGCAGAATGGCAAACTGCCTGGAGGAAGACACTACGAAGTTGTCTAAAAATCAAGTGTTCTTAGCAAGAAGAAAGCTTGTAATTTCTAAGGAGATTTAGTCAAGACAGTGAGAAAACTTCTTGTCTAGTAGTACAGACATGTTTGATACTTGTTTACAAGATTCTATAGGCATAGCTACAGAAATAGGAAGAGATTGTAAACTTTGGAGGTTTATGAGCCAAGCCTGGTGATGGCTCTAAATACATTAAGTTACTAAATTCTAAAACGGCTCTAAAAACTTTTAAATCATGCAGTGAGAATCCTTTTTTTTTTTCTTCTTCTTTTTCTTCCTAGCCAAGACACCAGTCACTATGACATTTAGATTAAGAATCCAAATAATAATAATAAAAAAAGAAATTAAACAGAATGATGTTACTGAGATAGAGGTCCTCTGCTGAGTCTTACTCACCCTTCACCAGTAAGGGATTGACAGGTTTGACGTGGTCTGACATTTGACAAGGTGCTGTAATTGACAGATTGCTAATCTGCGGAGCACTATGAGCTCTGAGGTCCCACTCTATAGCAAGGTCATCCTTCAAAACCTCCTGGTGGTTCAGCCGAGTCCTGGCAGGAGGCTCGATGACTCTGCCACAACTTACATTGTAATTTTGCTGCAATAGTGATCAGCGCTTTCTGAGTTTCTTCAAAACACGGAGCGCTGGCGTGGCGTTGTGGTACAAGATTGGTGGTTTGTACTGTTGTTTGACAAAAAGCAATTTTATGCTTTAAGGGTCAAACATAAACAATTTATGTCAATAAACTATATCTAGTTTTTCTGCTTTCACCAAAGTCGACCATAGTGAGGAGGGACTGGAGATGTTTGATGGGATACTGATGTCCTTAAAACCTGCTAATGTGCCAAGGCTAATGGGAGGATCAGAGCTGTTAAAAATAAGGCAGTCTTTGGTCAATTCTTTTGTAAGTTCCCTCCCTGTAGTAGGTATGTTTGAGTGTGAGTTGTTCATGTTCTCCATCGCAGTAGCCTTCCAAGTGCTTCACAGCGGACTGCACGTAGGTAAGGGGGGTTTCATTTGGTCTCAGTTGGTGACTTACTGCCTCTTGACAGGATTCTTAAGTGACTGGGCAGCATTTTAAAGGTATGAGGACTGGATACAGTTGCTCACAATGGCAAAAAAAGACTTTTTCCACACACGTTAAGTTCACATGTCACTACATAGGCGACTTCTGTGGTCCTTTGTGTGAATTCATGTCTTGTTACAATGCTACTTTAAAGACGTTCTGTGTCAAAGTATAAATATATGTGCTGTCAGGATTAAACTCCTCAGAAATACATTTGACTGCTATTTTGTAATCACATAAGAATGATTTTGTTCCCAAGAGCAATTTAGTAATGGCTTTTTAAATGTTATATTCTAGCTTGCCAGTGTAATGGCCACAGCACCTGCATCAACAGTAATGTCTGTGATCAATGTAAAAACTTAACAACAGGAAAACAGTGTGAAACGTGTATGCCAGGATATTATGGGGATCCCACAAATGGAGGACAGTGTACAGGTAAGTCGTTCTGCTGGGAAGACAAAAAAAAAAAAAAGAAGTGACATTTTATATAATGTGAATTTAACTTTTTAAATGTAACATGAAAAAAAAACTTTTCTGTAAAGGTCAAATGTTTACTCGATAATACTGATGAGTCGATCAGCTAAATTAATGATTCAAAATCAGGTTAATATTTTTAAGAGAAACTTTGCATTCAGAATCATAATTTTGCAGTTGTTAGGTCTGGATGCTCTAAGAACAAGATGGTAATTTCAAGATGCCCTCCCAGTTAGGGAAAGGAGGAGAAAGGAGCTGTCTTCTGGGAGCAATGCCTTAAATCTTGGTATTTCAGAGGCATCACTTCATTCCCTGTAAACAATCCTCTTAAAAGCAGTGAGAAGGTACTTACAAATGAAGTTTGGTACCTACCCTAATGTCTAATAGCACTGATTTGTATAAATGTGTGATCTTATTGGAAAAATTATGCGTTTAACAGACCACCGAGTCTTATTCACGTGTAGTTTAAACAGAAAGGCCTGGTACACTTGAGGATTGTAAGGTACCCTAACCTATTCAATCTGTTTAGTTTTGTAATTGCTGCATTGGAGGATTCTCCCTGAAGTGAAAGAGAATGAAGTCCAGTAATCCAAATGGCTTTTGTATATTGCCGTAGGGTTGTTTTTTTACTTGCACGGGTGTTTTTAAAGTTTACAGTAACTCCTTCCCTTATAAGAAATGGGGGAGGGGGGGTTATATTCAATATGTAAAGTCATTAAGATAGTTGAGGTTGAATCTTGGAGGGTGTTAGAAAGTTTTGCCCATTATATTTTCTTCTCTCTTATTGATGTTTATTTAACTGGACCTTTGCTTCTCAAGGAATATTTATTCATTCAAAGCATTTACTTGTTCTTCAGCACTTTAACATGCAGTAGTCAATGCATAAAACTGCACATCTGGTAAACTCAAGCACAATATGTAGAAAGTGTGTTCAAGGGGATGGAAAGATTAATGGCTGCCCCTATTGACAATTGCATTTTGCTGGTGCTTTATGATGCTTTAAATAATTCTTAATAGGTCTCTTATTTCCTGAAGTTGACAAAATGTTCTTTTGCTGTCTATAGCACCTTTATGGCAAAATGATGTATTAATATAGCTTTTATTCTTCAGGGATACGTTAGCTATCAACCAAATAAGCATTCCATCACCTTTAGTGAATTACGTGTAGTGCAATAATGGCTAAAATCAATTTATAAGACCGGTAAAATTATAAATTTTACAACTTGTTTTTTCAACCCTAGTCTGTAAGAGTACGTATTTTTATTGCTAGACATGATTTTAACGGGAGCTATTTAGACTAAATAATGCTTTCAAAAATAAAGATTATAATTATTTTGAGGCCTTATCTGCATTGGTATATTGTATTTCGTAGTATAGAGCCCATAAATCTGTTTAAGTCTTTAAGACATTTTGATGAATGTAGTCATTGTGAACTGTTAGATTTTCTCAGTATCATGATTTTTGTTCCTGTGATAGAGGTGCCCAAATTGTGGGCCAGAGATTCCTGCAGGACAAAATACCAGTGATCCATAAAAGTCAAATCAATTTTACATGGATTTAAGAGGATTTTGGAACCATAGTTAAGATCAGGCAGTGTGCAAAGGTAAAGAAAGAGAGGGTTCTATTTTTTTTTTCTCCTTCAATCTGGTAGTGCTTTTGGTAACACAGAAAAAAATTTGAAAATAGCTGCAAATTAAAACCGTAATTAGAGTACAAGCATAGGCAGAATATCTGAGTGGAAGAAGGGTCAATACGGTCAGAAGCTGGACTTAAGTGTGACTGAAATAATTAGAAAATGAGACAGGAAATGGTATGGAATAGCCAATCAAAGAAAGAAAATCATGAAGAACTGAAAAAAACCCAGTCATCCTTATAGTCCTTTCTTGTGTCACTTTTCTCTGCGGCTGCCAGCTGAGTTTCTGGCTTGACTCTACCAACACTTCTTTTCTACTAAGACTCACCCTTCTGGTCGAGGGCTGAGACTGCCTGAGCATGCGGTGCATTCTTAGAGCCCCAGAGTTATTTCTTTGAGCATCCAGATTGAAAACTTTTTAAAGGAATGACAAGATAATGGCTATAACTCTTAAAGTACATCTGTAATGCTATAATATTCCTCATATAACAAGTTGTTATAGTTACAAGGGTGTAACTTGGTTATGAATTGAAGAGCAGTTGAAGCTGGGAGAAGAGGTTGTACTCGATCTCTACAGTTGAGAGGCAAAGTGGTGTACACCAGGAGAAAAAATAAGAATTGTTCTCTTAACTTACTCATGACATACTACTTTAAATATTTTTTTTCTCAGTGTCCTGACAAAAGTACTTATGTATTCAGCACATGTATTCTGCTGTTTTGTTATGTGCACTTATAGGTAAAACCTGACCTCCCAACTTAGTTTGACTATTGGTGGTATAGATTAAAAAGATTTCCAAGAAAGACTGCCTTTTCTTTTATAGGCTGGATTAGCCTTTGCTGTTCCTTAGATCCCTGATGATCTTGAAAGGAAGGAGAAGGAGATGCATAACAAGTCTTTCAGTCCTTGGAATTTTTTTTTTTTTTTTTTTCCTTAAACTAAAGCAATTCTTTCCTGAATCCATTTTTATACTTCTAGGAGGTCATTCAAAAAGCTTTGAAGCAAGCTGACTGTCCACTTCTGAGTGATCAATTATCTTATGACCTTTATCCAGGGATGGAAAAATTTGTACAGTTAACTATTTTCCTTATTCTACTCTGGGAATAATGATGCTTTTACAACTGTCATCAGATAACTGATACATTCATAGTGCTATTGCATAGTGTTATGCTATCAAATTACTATGAGATGAATAACAGTTGTTTTAGGAAAAAGATATAATTCATGTTACAGAAGGTTTTGAATAGTTGTGATTAAAGAATGGATAAAAAAAATTGACTTTTCTGGATTTTCACTCGCTATAATTGCTGTCATTTCAATAGCTTTAAAACAAATCTAAGGACTCACTTTGCATCCTGATATGATGCTGGCATAGTAGAAGTGACAAACCTAAAAAGAAGGATAAAGAAAAGACGGGAGGCATAATAACAGGCTTCAAATATGCGAAAGGAAGCTGAAAAGAGAGAATGATGATAAAGTGCCTTCCACCACTTTGGTTGAGGAAGAAGTAATGGCATTAGGTTGCAACAAGAAAGATTACAGTGGACTAAAAGGAAAACTTTGTACTGGTTAAACTGTGAAATAGATTGCCATTATGAAAGACATAATGAAATCTGCATTGCCACCTACACTGTATTTGTTAAAATCTTCAAATTTCTCTAGCTTTGGAAAAGTGCAGTGGACTAGCTGATTCCACATGTTCTTTTCCAGTCCTAATTTTCAAAAGATTCTTGGAGTCTGAGATCTAGAATGCAGGGAGGTATTGAGTAAAGATATTCCAATTATGTAAGTTAAAAATGAAAAAAAAAAAAAAAAAAGCATTCCAGTTATGTAAGAAAATTATCTGCGTATAGCAAAATGACTATGGATATTTGCCATACTATGAGTGCTTAATAAAGATGTTCCTAAGTATTACATGTTATTTATTTTGGAATCTGTAGCATTGTTGTTATTGCGGTGTTAAAAAAATTTTCCATCTAATCCAGGTCTGTGATTGACCCTCACACTAGTTTATTTTTGTGTCAGAAGTGTGGTATGTCGGTTGCTGATGGGCAATAGTTTGACAATGATCATATTTTTTATAATTAATGATTGTACTTTTTCTTAAAAAAAAAAAAGCCTGATACCAATTATTCCTTTAAATTCTGTCACTTCAAGTCTCTCTTCTTTACAGGCAATGAGAGTTAGTTTGTATTCTTGGTGTACGTGTGATCTTTAGATTCAGTAGTGCCAGCATGTGGCTTGCAGTAAAGATGTATGTACTCCTTTGTATTTGTAAGCTAAAGTCCCTGTATAGCAAAGAAAAGTGTAAAGTAATAGTACCGTCAAAGCTACCATGTAAAGTTACAGCATCCTTTTTAAGAGTTAGTTCAATGCGCAAGAAAATAAGAGGGAAGCCAGAGGTGAATTCTGAACATGAGGGAATAGAGCGCTCTGACAAGAGACAGGTTTTGGGTTGCAGACCAAGCTCCAGTTCTGTTTACCCCATTTATCTGACTGGTCTTGAGTGCAAATGCATGAGCAGCCCCTGGAGTGCTAAATGCGGTGCTGTCAGTCTCTGCCAGGAATATTTAAGGAGTCAAACCCTCTTGTGATTTAACAAGGCACACTCACACTCTGTATTGTGATGAAGCTTAGGCAAGAGCTGCCCGGCTCAGCCTTGTTTGCTTCTGAGCAGGTAAAGCTATCCAGACGTAGGCAGCCTTGTAGTCTGAGATGTTGAAGAGTTGGAGGACAGATATTCCAAGTCACTTTGTTTCATTTTTAAAAAAAATTCTACTCAAGTCCCATTTGAGATACCATTTTGAAGCCATGAATATAAAAATTCAGTAGTAGAAAATTCATCATTAAGTATTGATGGATTTTGGAAATAAAAGAGCCCTGACTCTGGATGGGAACAGACACTGACTTGCTGTCTTGGTGGTTTCTCTCTGTTATATTTTCTTCAAGGTCTTGTTCTGTCATGTAATGCATGTTTGGGAAATATGCACTGTTTTAATAGAAATTCTAGGGAAAAAAAATGGAGTTTTAAGTGTACTACAGAGTGCAGCATAAAGTAACAGGAGAAAACTGGATGGGAGATTGCTTTGAACAATTTTGTGTAATCTTGGCAGCATTTTTTAGCATTATTTTCAAACTTATTAATCATCTACTTAGTTGTCAATGTTAAAAAAAAAAATTACCTGCTTATCATCTTGTCATTTTCTTTATGCATGGTATTTTTAAAAATTATTCTTAAAATGTATGAGATGCCAAGAGAGAAATCTTTACAGTAACTTATGACACACACTGTGAATGTGTAATACATTTAATAATAAGATAACGTAAGCA